AAAAAATGCATTTTTAAAAATATAAACCAAGCCAAGAGTAAATAAATTGAAGAATAATACTACGTGTACATTGTTTGGTTCACATCATTTTGTACATTTTATTAGAATTCAAAAAGTTGTCAGCCAAAAAAGTTTGTGTTTTTTTTTTTGTTAAACTGTCCATTGTATTATAACGTCGCAAGTGTAAAAAGTGAACTCGTAAATTAAAAACCCTTTGAAAGGGTTTGTTTCCTCCTTTCCCTCACCCCAACACTTCCCACTGCCTCCTCTTTTCCCTGTTGAGAGGAAAAATAATTCTCTCTAATGTTTTCAATCATTTTTCTATATATCGTTAATTATACGTATTAGCAAGGAAAAATGTAGTATACATTATTTATTGTTGTAGAAGATGTTGATTAGGAGGCAGAGATTTTTTGAGTTTCAAGGTATGCAGGTTGATCAGATGGTGTTGAGCTGAGACCTGGAGGTGGTACCCGTGGCGGAAACAGAGTACTTGACCCGCGTTTGGACACCTGCTTCGCTGCGGCCAATTCTCATCCCTCGGTGCTGCGTCCCCATGGCGGCGGCGTTGCTCCTTCACTCTCTTCCGTAAAGGTTAAATTTTCATTTTTTTTGAAATGTAGAGTTTTTAATCATTTGGGAATGTTTTCCATGAACATTTTCGGTTCAGTGTATTTTCAGACTGATTAGATGTAGATTTGTACCGCTCTTTTTGCTGATTAAAGTGCGCACCATTTTTTCTTCATATATTTGTATGTATGTGTAATTAACGGCTGGAATTTAAAGCCCTTACCTTTTTTTTTAGTTGTATAATAAATACCTGGAATTCGATTGTACTAATTATTTGGATAAACTAATGACGAGAAGTATGTGAATTCCTACACGTATCTCTGTACTTACGAAAGAGACGTACTTTTTCAATTTCATGGTTCTCCATTAAAACATATGATGTAATGTGCATTGATACCAGTGTTGCTATGTCAGTGTGTGAGACATATTGTTTTGCTGCATCTGAATTTCAATGGAAAAGGCACATGTGAGTACCAAATAATTTTTTTGTATCAAACAATCAATAAAGTTCCCTCCCCCACCCCATTGAAATTAGAGGTATGAAAAAGGTTATATGGCATAGTTACTTTTAAAAATTTCTCTTTTCCAAAGTTCGATTGTTGGAAGAAGAAAACTTTGCAGCCTTGTGATAATTTACTTGTTTTGTGCTTTAAAACTAGAGATGATGATTGATATTGACGCTAATTCTTGGCAGTACATGTAAGATATGTAATTGCTGTAAATATGGTCGGAAAGCAATTCATACGCTTTAGGTGGGCATGGCTGGAGTTACAGCAGGTCCATAAAGAAACCTATGGATAGGGAAACATTACTTGAAAGTTTTGTAAGAAATTTTTGGTTTGTCTATTCAGTGTACGATAGATGAGGTTCAGTTACCCTATTAGCCACATGTGCCAGGCTTAACATTTTAGTATTATGATAATGGGAGTACCAAATTCCTTAATTTTATCAAACAATCCATAAAGTTCCCTGCCCCACCCCCTTTTAAAACTAGAGGTACGAAAAATGGAAAAATGTTATATGGCATAGTTACTTTTGGAACTTAAATTTATCTTTTGCGAACTTTGATTGTTGGATGAAGAAAACTTTGCAGCCTTGTGATAATTTAATTGTTTTGTGCTTTAAATCTAGAGATGATGATTGATACCAACGCCTTAATTCTTTGGCAGTACACATAAGATGTGTAATTTGCTGTAAATATGGGCGGAAAGCAATGCATAGGCTTTAGGTGGGCATGCCTGGAGTTACAGCAGGTCCATAAAGAAACCTATGGATATGGAAACGTTGCTTGAAAGTTTTGTATGAAATTTTAGGTTTCTGTCCGTTGAGTGTACGATAAACGAGTTACCCAATTAGCCACATATTTCAAGCTTAGCATTTTAGGCTGGGAAGCACCGACATATTGTTGGCGTCTACGTATCGGTGTCTGACACGTATTGGACACCAGTACGTCTCGAAAACGTCGTCGACGTGTGTCGGAGACGAAGAAATGCACTTGGATGGAAGAAACAGTAAGCAAAACAGATGACTGGAGGAAAAGAAGAGGTGTGTGACGGCTGCTGCGTTGAAGAAGAGATGCAGTGGTGGTTGGAATTGTAAGAAAGGCTGATGAAGAAGAAATGCACAGTGAAAAGACGACTGAGATGAAGAAAAGAAAAGGCCGATTGCTGAGGAAGAGAAGAAAAGAAAAGTCTAAAGAAGTAAACCCTAAATATAATTTTCAATTCAAATTGGGCCCAAAACATTAATGGTGTGCTTGATTGCAATCATGAAATTTGCATGGAAGGAAAATAATTTTTAGGAAATTCAATTATCAAGAACTTATGTGTATGAAAATTATTAATTAAATGTGTTTAATTGATTTAGTTTTCAACCTATAAAACATTATACTTATCCATTTTTTATTGGTGGGTATATGAGAGAGAGTGGATAGATGGGAGAGAGAAAGAGAGAGTATTATCTGGAAAATAAAACCACCCCTCCCTAGAGAAATTTTTTCCTATGTTTTTAAGGATAATATGGTCATGTGACTAAAAGTTGGAAAATAATTTTCATGGAAAAAATTGTCGATCAAATGCCTTAAATGTAGGAATTTGGGTGGAAAAGTGACATTTTCCATAAAAATAAAGCCAATCTAATACACTCTAAATAATCTATAAGTGATAAGATTTTTTTTTGTAGTTTACCCTTTAACAAAGTAAAAGGTAAATTTTTATGTAGATCAAAATTTTTACCATTTAATTTATCATTTTACCCCAATAAAAAATCAAATTCGAAGTCTAATTGTTATTTAATTATTTGTATATATGATGTAATAAGTATAAAACATTTATTTTTTTAGACTATTAAATAAATTAAAAAAATTAAATAATTTTTGAATCAACTTGTCGGCGGCGTATCGTGTCGGAACTTTTTCAAAAAATCGTGTGTCAATGTGTCAAACACGTATTGTGTCGAACGCTCATATCCATGTTGGTACTTCTTAGATTTTAGTATTATGATAATGGGAGTACCAAATTACTTATTTTCATCAAACAATCAATAAAGTTCCCACCTCCACCCCCACCCAGAGGTATGAAAATGGTTTATATAGCACAGTTACTTTTGGGAACTTAAAAAATTTTCTCTTTTGCAAACTTTGATTGTTGGATGAAGAAAGCTTTGTTTCCTTGTGATAATTTAGTTGTGTTGTGGTTTGAAACTAGAGATTATTATCGATATTGATGCCTTAATTCTTGGCAGTACACGTAAGATGTGTAATTGCTGTAAATATGGTCGGAAAGCAATGCATAGGCTTTAGGTTGGCATGGCTCGAGTTACAGCAGGTCCATAAAGAAACCTATGGATACAGAAACTTTACTTGAAAGTTTGTATGAAATTCTGGTTTATGTCTTACGATAGACGAGGATCAGCTACCCAACTGGCCACATGTGCCAGCCTTAACATTGTCGTATTATGTAAACAAAGTTGGATTCCATTATTGACCACAGGTGTGGGGTCAATCCATGTTTGTATCCTACACCCTGAATCTAGCATGTAAGAGCATTTCCAGGAGACTCTCTATTTATAATGAGCATCTTATATATAATACGGAATATCTTTAGATTTAGAGAGTATATACACTACAACAATGATCTCTATTTTGACTCTTTATTTTGCTTTTTTCTATATATATATTTATTGTTTTTCTCTCATCTTTTATTAACAAAATTTTTTAAATGTCAATTTCAATCTATTCAAATATTGTTTTAATAATTTGAGAAGTAGAGCATTGAACTATGTGAAGTGTTAAAATGCAATCATTTTAAAGTTTATTTAAAAAGTTAAATTAGAGTATTTTGGATTAATTCTATAAAATAGAGAGCACTTTGTATTTAGAGAGTCTATTGGAGATTGGAGATACTCTAAGGTGTATAATGATATTATTGTTGTTTTAATCCGAGTAAGAACCTTCCTCCATTCCCCTTGAATGAGCCTGGTGGAAAAGAAATCACATTTAAGTGGGTTCTTTTGAATATCTGCAAGGAGGTTTTTGAATGTGTTGTTTGTTTAAGGGAAAAGGTTAGGCAGATGACTGCTCCTGAGCTATAATCTGAAATAAGTGATAAAAGAAAGGTTATTCAAACTCCGTACACTTGGAAACATCCATCTGATTGAGCGTGTTTGATGCACATTTTTCAGGAGAGAGTGCATTTTTTTTGGTGATGTGATGGTGAATATATGGTTGAAAATGAGTAGAAGAATGAGAATGAAAATTAGAATGTGGCTAAAACAGGGGCTGAGTATCTTTTAAAGCAGAAGATGGTACCTGAGAAGATTGTTCATCACCTTGTTCAGGTTCTCTCTCTCTCTCTCTCTCACACACACACACACACACACACACACACACACAAAAACTCATGTGCAGGCATGCACCTTCGCTCTTTATTACCCCCTATTCTACCTGACACTACTCTTTATTCTTCATTTTAGCATTATTATTTGTCTATTATTTACAAATAGCATGTGTTTGTGAGCAGGAACTCTTAGGACATGATACCCAAAGTTGTCCAGCTGACAAGAATGTTGAGGCCATATGTCAGTTCTTTAAAACCATTGGGAAACAGCTTGATGAGAACCAGAAATCACGGCACATTAGTAACATTTATTTCAATGGCTTGAAAGAATTTTCAACAAACCCTAAGCTGACCCACGACTACATTTATGGTTCTCAATGTTCTTGATTTGTGTGCAGATAATTGCGTCCCAGATGGGAAGAGCCGAAGAGGTGACCCATTACAGTTTATTACTCTCTTGTTCATAATTTTTTCCTTCCCCACATTTATGACGTGCTTTCCTACTTTGATTTTGTAGGTCAAAGCTAAAACCATCACCGAGATCCATTTGGAAGTATGTGCAGGTGCTACTGCTGACATTTGAAATAGCTGACCATGACTTCTGGTGCTCAAGGGAGTATTAGCGCCAGTGGATTTCCTATTAATCGGCCTGGTTCAGGTGGTATGATGTCTGGAATACCTGGAGTAAGGAAGATGTCTGGGATGCCCGGAATGGAGAATGATAACTGGGAAGTTCCCATATCTCGGTCAATGCCAAGTGGCAATGGTTCAACAGTTCAACCTGCTGGATGTATTCCGCCACCACTGATAGGCAAGTCACCAGCACCAAACCAGCAATGCAACCTCAAAGTTAGTGGTAGTTTCACGAGTGGCAGGACTAGCTCCTTCTTAATGCTAGTGGTGCATCTCCTGCTCGCCCAGCTCACTGTAGGATTTTACACGAACCCTGCGTCTCAACTTTCTTCCCCATTAAGACAGGCTTCAATATCATCTATTACTCTGGCTTCTAACAAACCACCGGCTTCAGCTGCAAGATTGGCATATCAATTTGGCTTAGATGGCTGGTTGGGTTGGTCCAACCAAGAAAGGAATGAGAGCCTTTGTCAAGACGAGCTCGAGGAAAGCAGCTTCACTTCTAGATTAATACTTTAGTCTCAGACTTTCGGATGAAACATTAAAATGCACCGGGGAACTGAAATCCCCTGCTTACCATCCTAAAATTGTTAAGGACATAGGAACTGAGTTCTTCCTCTATGCAGCACTTTTGGATGATCTTGCCTAGTGGTGGCAAATGAGCCCATCGACTCGACTTGAAAAAAGCTCGAGACAAGCTGGCTTGGAGCTCATTTGCATGAGCCAAAGCTCGGTCCAAGCCTCGAAAATGAGATTTGGCCCGAGCTTGGGCTAGCCTACGAGTAGGGCTGTCAATGGATTGGATTTTGATCCGATCCGATTTGTTATAAATAATTGAGTCGGTAAAATATTTTTATGGTATATTATTTGTCACAAAAATAAATAAATTTAGAATAAAAAATAATCAAATTCAAAACATAAAAAGGTTTAAAAATATTTATAATTATTAAACTTGTTTAAGAATTGGAATTTTTTTTTAAAAAAAGTTGATTTCAATCAATGTTTTTTTAATTTTAGTATGCTAATTTAAAGTAAATAAATATTTATATTTTTCTTAATTAAATTTATTATTGTAATTAATTTTACAATTTCAAAAAATAATAATTAATCTGTAACAAATAATTTGATTCGTTAATGGAAACAATGAAATAAAATATTTATATTTAGAATTGAAATTCAATTTTAACTTATCCCATATCGAATGTCAATAGAAAACTAGAAAATGGTCTCTCATTTAAAAAGGAACATCATAATGATCGAAATCACTATTGGGCTTGCTAGGAAAAATAGGTGGGCCTTAAGTTAGTTCAAAAAATTTTCCCCAATTTCTATTAATTTCGGATTGAATATTCGATAATATTGCAAATCGGATATGGATTTAACAATTAAATATCCGTTGGATTATCGGAACGAATCAAATCGGATCGGATCGGATATAGATAGATTCGATTCATATCCAATCCATTTACAGTCCTACCTACGGGCCTCACGAACCAAAATCCAAGCTGGCTCGTGGGGCTTGTCTTGTTTGATAAATTTTGAACCCAATAACTAGCGTGCAAAAGCAAGCTAGTTTCTTTGCGTGTGGCAGGCATCACAGGTTGTTAATGGGAAGAATGCCTGCTACACGTCGGTGATGGGAGTCCCTTTCTATCCCCAAATTCAAATGTCTCTTAGAGAGATTTGATTTTTGGGAACGTCTCTTATTTGAATTGCAGAACTTCTCTCATAGAGACATTTTTAATCTTACATTTTATTCTTAAAAATACCCAATTCAAAATAGTCTTTTCGCTATCAATATCTTCTGCAATATCTAATCTATTTTGAAATATTTGCTATTAATTATTTTGCTATCAATTTCTTTGCTGTTAATTATTCGATAGTTACAAATGAATTTCACTAGTAATGAGGTTAATTAATTTTTGGGTAGTTCGAGTACTCTATCCGGTCACGATGTATTTCAAAATGCTCCAATTGACTTCGGTGATATCCAATAAGAGGTTGAAGTGATAGAAACGAAACGAAACTCAGTTCAAGCATGTCTCAAGTGAAACGATCTAAGAAAGAATCCTTGGATGCTTGGCAACAGATGATACGAAAAAAATTAGTATTAAAAATGGAGTTGATATTTGAAAAATGTATTACAATTATTATTATAATAAGAAACTTACATGTAAATTCAAGCACGTCTCATTATTACAACTAAGCTCCTTATTACAATAATTGCAATACATTTTTCAAGTATTTACTCCATTTTTAATATCAATTTTTCTTCGTATCGTATGTTGCTAAGAATTCGAAAATTCTTTATTAGATTGTTTCATTTCCGTCATTTCTTTTTTGATATCATTTAAGTCAATTGGAACATTTTGAGATACATTGTGACTGAATGGAGTGCTCGAACTACTCAAAAATTGATTACCCTCAATTCTAGTGAAATCCATTTGTAACTATCAAATAGTTAGCTATAAAGATATTGATAGCAAAATAATTAATAGCAAAGATTTTAAAATAGATTGGAGATTAGAGAAGAGATTGATAGCAAACAACAACAACAACAACAACAACAACAACAATAATAATAATAATTTTGAATTGGGTATTTATAAAAACAAAAATTGTAAGGTTGAAAACGTCTATAAGACATTCTGAAAATCGAATATTTTTAAGAGATGTTTGAATTTGGTGATGAGAAGAGACTCATCACCGACGTGAAATGCCTCCCACATGCAAAGAAATGCAAGCTAGTTTCTTGGTTGAAAATTTATCAATCAAATCAATCAAAACACGCCCGAGCCAAGCCACGGTTGCCACCACTAATTGCAAGTGATTTACGACATCGTATATGAATTGTGTTCTATCTCACCCGTCTTCTATTTACACTTACATGAGCTGATCAATCGATTTACACATGATAAGGTGATGATCTGTAGGGCTGAACATGACCCGGTCCGGTCCGGTCCGGTCCGATCCGGTCCGATTTGATCCGGTTCGGTTTAGAATTGAACCAAATCCAAAATTTTCGGGTATTTAGTAAGTGGAACAATTTAAATTTAATTATAGAACCGTTTAGGTTCGGTTCGATTCGGTTCGATTTCGTACAATAATTAATTTTTTTATATTATAACAACGCTACATTAATTCGACCATGACATATTCAATCTTAATTCTTACAAAATAACGTTTAATCTCGTTATATCTTTTGCACCTCCCTTTGTTGTGTTCTTCATAGATTTGACTGGTAAAATCAAAGGAAGAGAAATATGACTAATTCACAATAACATAATGATAGAAACGATACTATGGTAGAATAAGAGATTTTGATAAAACTTAGGTCAAGTTGAGCTGGCTGGAAATTAAAAGTAGTAAAATAATATTTTGGGTTTGGACTAAATTAATTAGTTAGCAGTTTATTTTAAAAAATAAAATATTTGATTTATTTAAGATAAAAAATTAAAAAAAATTAAGGAGATTCGTTTCTTGTTCTAGAACTGAGAATCGAACCAAACCCCTGGGTTCTCAATTCAGATACTCATTTGGGTATTTAACTTAAAAAGAACGGTTCGATTCTGTTCGGTTCGGGTCTGGTTCGATCCGATTCGAGAGTTTTGTTCAGCCCTAATGATCTGTGACAAACAGGTGATGTTAGTGGGCTGTATATTTTTCTTGAGTTTGTTGACATAAAAAAAGTGTAGCCCAAACCAAGGTATGAAACCCAATTAGATAGTCCAAAATGAAGGACCAAATATGACCATTAATGAATGCAGAAGAGACCCACGAACAAGGTACTATCATCGCCCAATCTTGCAAGACGCAAAAGATTTGAGCGAGTGGAGTGCCTTAAAATCGCCCAGAACGAATGAGCCTATTCTCGTCCAAACCTTCAAATCGCCCAGGATCATATCAAACATGAGGTATTATGGTTATCCAGAGCAGCAATTATTGAAGCGGTTATTGAGCAATTTTATCATACCCCACGATCTAAGAATCACAGTTGTAGGCGGTTGAACAACGAGAGTAATGGTAACAGTTAGAGACGGCAGTTTTTTGACAAGTCAGCCATCATGAAGAAAGTGGGTAGTTATAGAGCAATCAAACAGTTTTTAAGCGGTTTGTCATTAATGAATTATCAAGGAAGTATAAAAAGGAAGAGAAGACAGAGAGAAAATGGCCCTGAATCAAACACTCTAAATAGAGAATATGTAATTTCGATTTCTTAGTTTAACTTTAAACGTTTCTTTTAGTACTCGTGTGCTTGCGCCATTTGGAGGTATTCTATTTATTTCCAATTGTAAATCATCACCAATAAAACACCACTTTTTGAGACTTTGTCTCAAGAGGTCTGTTTCTTACACAATCGTCTGAATCTTTTTTTTTTTAATTGTTAGCGACAACCTGCGAGAAACAATTTGGCAATCACAGTGGGACATTGGTGTTTGGTGTTTGAGGATACAAAAAGTGAAACAATATACCTCATAAGTCTGATAAGGAACCAGCAAGTCAGGAGGTAGTCTAATCTGTGATCGAGCGATATGAGAAGCATCAAAGCTCTCCACGAACAGAGGGACATAGTCAAAGCAGTCGTAGTCGTTATGAACCAATGATAGAGTTGAGTTTTCGAACCATACGTACATTGCTTGGAGAACTCACACAAGATGTCGTTGAATAGGTAAATCTACGAAATGTTCATAATATGTAAAGATTTACCCAGAATGAGAATGCACATTATGAAAACATGACTAAACAACTGAATACATTAAATGAAATAATGAACAAGTTAGTAGGCCAAATTTGTCAGCCAGTTGTGCCTATTGCAAATCACTTTCAAACTAGGATGATTATAGGACATAATTCCCCAGTCGTAAGTCCAAACAAGAGATAGAACCACCTTTTGGTTCGTCTACTTCAAACCAGGGAGGTGGTGTAGTGCCAAATCAGAATAGTGGTAATGGTACATCAAACTTGGGGGGTAACCTAAATATAAGAGACAATGTCCTGAATAATGGACAGAATACCCCACGTGTTAATGATGGAATAAATATTCAGGCTAATGGTAACAATGGCCCAAATAATGGAAACTTTGTCGCCAACCAAGGACCAAATGTTAGGCCTCAGGCAACGTGATTAGGTATGAACGTTTAATAAGAGAAAAAGAGCAAATGAAAAATTTTAGCAAGGGGACTTATTATAGAGACCCAAATTTTGATGTTCATACCATTAATGAAGAGTATTACGATCAAACTAAAGTATGTTTGGCCAAGTAAATCAAAGGAGATGCATATACTTGTCCTATAATGGCCAAACCTAGAGCGTCGGGCAATGACGAGCCTATAAAAGATGAAAATAAAAAGGCTAGGATGTTCTCGTCTGATGTAACTAAAGTTGACCTTATATTTGATAAACTATATAAAACTAAATAGATAAAGTTGAGCGATAAACATAAGTTGCCAACTGTTAAAGAAATTAAGGGTAAAAAATATTGTAAGTTGCATAATGCATGGTCACATTTGACTAACAAT